TTTGAGTTGCAGTTGTTTGTGATTTATAAAGATCAATGATTGATTGTGAATATTCTAAGTCTTTTTGTAATAGTTGTTGTTGATGTTTTAAACTATTTATTTCTGTTTTATAAGTGTTTAATCTAACGTCCGTGGCATCCATAAATATTTTTAGTTTGGATATGAAAGTAACATATTCATCTTTATTAAATTCTTGTACGTTTTTATCAATTTCATTTTGAAATTTGTCAACTTGTGCTATATAAGACATTTTGTTGTTGTTAACGTGGTAAAAAAAGAACGTGGCAAGGGAGAAGAAAAGAACGTGTCGACTCGATGATAAGAATATGTAGAATATATTAAACTGGCGATTCTTCTGAAGTTATTGGTGCAATAACAAACTCGCTTTGACAAATCTTGTAGAGTTTTTCGCGGGCTATCCAATGGAAAAAAGATTAGGCAGCTAGAATGACTTTTTCATTAATGAGTGCAAAACACAAAACGTAACGGCATCAAACCTTTTTCTTTTCTTTTCTGTACCATGTTTTTTCACACCGATCTTAGGAACCGTTTGTGCTTTTATTAGCTTTTCAACATGAATCTAAGTGGTTTGAGTGACTAGATCGTGAGTTAGATCATTCGTAGTCAAACAAAAAGAGAAATCCTGACCATCAGCCCAAACATAAACTGTAAAAATGGACAACGTCTTTGTATTCCAATGGGCACTTTGTATTTCATCCTGATCTTTCATTCCAAAATTCTTGTAAATTGTCTATAGTTTCTGTCGTATCAGATTTTAGAGCTCTGTAGTTGTAGTAAAATAAATCTGAAATTTATAGATTAAGACCTTAAAGGCATATAACAAGTAGTACTATTCAAATAAGATCGACTATTACACATATCGTGAGATATAGAACGAACCCCCGTATTTCTTTGTCAGAGGAAAATAAATACCTGTTCTATATTGGCGGGGAATGTATTTGTATTACGCATGGCGGTTTGAGGGTGGGCGCTTAAAGGTGAGTCTTACCAAGAGCGTCGCGACGAAATGACTTGCTTAATTGGTCGCTGGCAAGGGATCGCATACCTGTTGTAATGTTGATGCAATAGGTTTTGTCTATAGTTTTTGTCGTGTCAGTTTTTAGAGCTGTGTAATTGTAGTAAAATAAATCTGAAATTTATAGATTAAGACGTTAAAGGGTCTTTTCGATATACAGCGTACCAGTTTAGATTGGTTTGTCATCAATGAAAAACGTTTATTTTCGAGATGTGTGGACAAAGTGTCTAAAGACAAATTGACGAATCGCAATTTTTAAGCGTAAGAATGATGCAACAATTCGCGTTTTACCCTTATTTTGCGAATTCGTACCGAATTGATGCGAACTGTATCGAATTCGTACGGATACTCTTAAAAACTTTTACGAATTCTTCTTGCGAATTCGTAAACAGA